TCTCAGTAAATCTCTATCCATGTAAAGTAATTAGTTTATCAAAGGCAGTGTCAATTATTTTCACTTAGAGATGGACGATAAATGTGTTGTGAACAGATAAAAAATTATTTTCTTGTCAATAAAATTTAGTACTGGTATGTTATCTTTAAGGACAATGAGCATGCAGTTATTTTCCAGCCAAATGACAATGTAACTAGTGATTCACTCTGAAGTAAGTCCTACTTATCATTATTGTCAAGAAAAGATGCCTAATGGCAAATAACTCTCCAAAATCAATAGTATATGATTCAACAAGATTCAACACTGATGCTAACCTTTATAAATTTTGCGAACTTGCTAGGTTGAAGATATCCAGCCAAACATCCACGCCATTTTGCAAGCTGTCGTGTTGCGTTGCGCTGCTCGTATGGGAGTCTCTAACTAGTTAATTGGAACAGATCGGTATTTCGGCACAGGCTATCAAATATACTATTCCATCTGGCTACTGTGTTGTATTATTCTTTGGTCTCGGATTCGCGTAAGATCAATTCTTGAAAATGTAGGTTATTAGAGTATCCTACAATTTACTTGATCGCAAACAAATAATGTGAGATCTGTCACAGCTAAATGTGGGTCAAAGCCTAAATATTAGTACCAAGTAGAAAAGGAATAGAAATGCTGAAGAAAGTAGATGAAGTCGACAAAACAGCATTTTACGTTAAAGAATTAGATGGTTTATTCACGACTTGAAATATAATGTGTGAACAGCCATTACCAATTGGTCTTCAACCATCAATTTTAGCTTTCTTCGTGGAAATCACTCAGTCAAAGAATTCTTGGTTAGATAAATTACCTTATTCTGACCACTGTAGAGATAGGTCCAACTTATTTTCTCTAATGTATTGAGGTAAAAATCAACAAGTGTCATGGCAGAATTGTTTCTTCTTGTTATCACCATGAGTTTTATATTAGCACTAATGACTCAGCGCTTCTACTATGTATTAGTTCCTTAATACCTGCAATGTTTACATATCATTCATTCTCAACAGCCGTATAAAGGAGTTGTCACTCATGATGGCAAATAACAAGCTGCATCACATCGTAGTTTGACTTTGTCCCAAAGTACTAGTCACTGCAAACTGTCTACATTAAAGGATAAGGGTGTTGAATTCAGCTATAAGACAGCTTCATGTTATGTTCTGTACTTCAGATAACCGCAGACTGACTCAGAAAAGATGCTCACTACTTTATAGGATCCAATTTTTATAAGAAACGAAGATCGTAATTTCAGTAATTTCTATCATTGTATCACCACACTTCTTGTACGTGTCAAGTTTCATGTTCACGAAGTGTGCTAATATATTATGCCATCCACTAACTAACATGTTTAATAGATAGTTTTCAGAAAATACCAGACAAGCTGCCTGGAAAGATGTTAAGATAGTCTTGGTACCCAAGTTAGTGACTCCAGATCCATATCTGAAATTCCGTCAGATTGGAGTTACTTTTCCATTCTTGAAAATAATGAAGAAGCTAATAATACCTGTGCTTGAACCCTTATGAGAAGTTTTTGGAGCTCGTGGTCAATTTGCATTCAAAACTAAAAGAAGCACTGTGGATGCCACCACTGTGTTATATCACGATATTGCTTATAGTTTTGGTAGAAATGCGAAGTATTTCAGATGTGCTTTATTAGAATATGCTTCAGTATTTGATTCTCTTCCAAGACCTCTTTTCCTGGAAAAGCTAACTGGGACAAATACTGAGTCCTAGATAATTAGCTTGCTGTATTTTATTTCTCTGAAAGGAAACAATATATTGTTCACAGAGGGAAGCGCTCCACCTTACTGCTTACTGAAGCTTATGTTCCTCGAGGTATCGTCCTTTCCCCAAGTCGTTCTGCTTTCTTTATAAGCTTCAGCTAGTATCAATTTTATCAAGTATGCTGACTATCTGACACTTTCCATGCCTGTTTTTTCTTCAAAGGATTGTTCCCAATGAACGATTTCCTATCTACTGTTAGACGATGATTCTCGGTGATTGGTCTTGTTTAATTCCTTAAAATATCGGACCATAAACGTTACTTTCAGAAACAGACATAATCTAAGTAAACTACATAGGTCTCATGATTCTTGTTCTGTTGATAGTTGTGTATTAGAGGATGTTACAAGTGTGATTTATCTCAGACCTTCCTTGGTCCTTCCTAATCTTACTATTTTCCGAAACGTATTCCATCTAAGTTTCTATACTCGGAAGCTGGGTGTATCTGGCATGACTCAGTCTATTCTCTTGTTTTTTATAAACTTCCGCATATTGTTTGTTCTCCTACATTGTTCCCCTTTATTCTGCTCTGGGTCGTTGAGAAAAGGCTATGCTGAAATGTGTAGAAATTTGAAGATTGTGAACAAAACTAGTGGTGTACCTTTAAGGCTTCTAACTAAAACTGATGGGGACAAACATCTTAGCTCATGTAAACATCTGGTAGGAGTTATTTTGTCGGATAATCAGCATCCTGTTCACTCGAAGCTCTCTGTATGTTGTTTGTCAGGCAAGACCAGGAGCAAGTATGTAAAACTGTATGTATGTACTACTAAATATAAAAACTCTACAATATTTTATTTTGTGCGAGGGAGGTGTTAGAAGGGGACTAACTAATCAACTGTTACTGAAGGCAAACTAATTAAAAAGTATACATCTTGATATTATAGATGGATTATAAATCTAATTGCTAATGTGATAGTTTACCTAATTTGACTCTGCATTCTTAAGAAAGTTGTAGATTGGGTAAATATTCAAATCTTTTATATATTATTATTATTATTTGTCCCTTGGGTTCCTAATGGAACATAGGGCCTCAAAAGCACGTCTTCAGTGCACTCTGTCCTCTGCAAACTTTTGAACCTGGTTCCATGACAGCCCACAACCTCTCATTTCTTCCTCGCACGACATCTTTTATGTCACCCTCGCCTCGGATGCCCAACTCGCCGTTTCTCATCTGGGTTCCACTCCAGGGCCTGATACGTGATGTCCCCAGTCGGCTTTCTCAGTGTATGCCAATCCATCTCCATTTCCTTCTGCATATTTATTGAGCGATAGGTTCTCGGTTGGTTCGTTACCAGCCAGAGTTCCTTGTTGCTTATTCTTTCTGGCCATCTGATGTTCAGTAACGTGCCAGCGTAGGCAGTTGTTAATGAATATCTGTAGTTTTTTGGAAATGCTTTTTGTAACGCACCAAGTCTCTGAGCACTGACTTGACCGAATTAGTATTGAAAATCCGGATGTTGTTCACGTTTTATACTGAGTGCAATGCAGTAGATCCCCACACTGATTACAGGTTAATGAACGCCTGTCTTGCTTTTCCGATCCTGACTTTGACGTCGTCATCCGTGCTACCGCCTGTAGTTGAAACAGTGCTGTCTAGATAGGTGAAAGAGACTACTTCCTTTAAGTTTCTCCCGTTGATGGTGATTGCAGCTTGTTGTTGGTGTTGGTTGGGTATCATCATCACCTCTGTCTTCTCTACGTTCACAATCTTTTATATATAATTCATATTAATTTCATTTTGTTACGTATACATATACACTGTTCCCATCCACTTGATGCTATATTCCATGTTGAAAGTGTTGTACAGTATTCCCGAAGTAACTTTCCAAATAAAACAATCAATATTATTATTAAAAATTATTTTTAACCTTCTACTTTATGCTGATCAAAATATTATCTGGATTATCAGTGAACAGTAATTTTGTATATCCAGCTGTCAAAATGTTTTCTGCAAAACTATCATTTCAAAACAAAACAAACATTTCTATCTAAATAAGAACGATTTCAATCTATATAAAACTATTTTTTCGAAAACTAGCACATTTCAGTTCAGAATAGGAAGGGGTTGGTTATTTAAAGGCAAGATACCTAAAGATTATTATCGGTTGACATTGAAAATTCAACTTTCCAACTTACATGAACTCATCCTCCACTGCTGTCCACCCCAAGCAAAACATTAGGCTACGTCATCCTGGAATGACTAGAAAATGCTCTAGATTCAAAATTACGACCGGAACAGGTTGACTGGCTCCAGGAAGAACAAAAAATGTGCGGATCAAATTACAACACTAAGCTACACATCATCATATAACAGAGCATAGAATGGCAGTCAAATCTCTACCTGAACTTCATCCACTTTGAAAGGAATTCGACAATGTCGACCGAGAAGTAATTTGGCAGCTGCTTCAACACTGCGCTTTTAGTGCCACAAATCTTTAACAACCTCATCCAACAGCAGCTATATGCTATATGAGGTATATGGGCTCGATTTCTATTCATCTTTTGATTTATTGGAATATTTTTAGTCTAGGGTGCCACATTAAGACTATATGACATGCTAGATACCACTAGTCCTTTCCAACCACCAACAAATCAGAGCTACGACAATAGTGAATTTCATCATAATGAAATATTACGCGCATTTTACGCGAAATTCCAATGTATCTTTGGTGAGCTTTTACACTAGATAAGATTTTAACACCAACTGCTTTAAATTTTCGCGTACAGGTTCTAAAAATACCTAAATGGTAGGTTGAAACGTATCCAAAATTTGATAAACTTGGCCTCTATAATCAGGAATTTAGTCATTGAAAAGAAAGTTTGATGAGTAAAAGCCCCTTTCCGTAGACTAAAAAGCTTTATATGATTAACATACACTCAAATTTTCTTAACTGCATGTACATGCAGTACTGAAGTACTGCAGTGATATCATAGTGCCTGCCATACTGCTAAATGACTCGATATTACAGTGCATTGCATCAGACGTTTTGCTATTATAAATCATATGGTTTATAAATCTGTGGAGATTCATGAGTGTGGCACAATCACAATACTAAATCATTGTCATAGTGATCACAAGTAGAGTAATTCGATTTTGCAATCGAAAATGTAACTAAAGGTATACTAGACCACATAATCGATTCTTCGGAGAACGACATAACATAGCAACAATAATGGAAGTAACTATTGGGGAAAGGCCGGACAAACAAGAAACATGCTATAGCATTATATATAGGTACTTATATATGTATGTATATATATATATTTTTTCATATCACTTTTATCAATGAATAATAATGAACTGAAGAAACCAAGAAAACAAAGGCGATACACAAGGAAACAAAATGGATCAGAATTGAAAAAAAACTGCATTCAACATGATTATGAAAGGATATTTTGTTGAAAATCCTCAAAAATGAAAAAAGAAGCAAGAAAATGTATATGATCGTTAGAAAGTCCCTTTTGTGGGAGAAGAGTAGAGGGCTAACAATGAAGTAATCATATTCATGATTTTTCTCTCCTCCATTTTCTCCTGTGAAATATATATATATATATATATATATATATATCAGCGTAAAACATCAAAAAGAAATGAATCCCTGAGTTAAGTGGATATGATGTTTGATACTTTGAATAGACGGTTGTTTTACTCATACGATCATGACTGAAAATGTGATGTAGGTGTGATGTTCAAAGTGGATAAGAAAGTAGAAATTACATAATAGGAAATAATCAGTTAGATGAAAGCAGAAGAAAATAAAGATAGTCCATTGTAGAGAGTTAGAATTTCAACGATGGATTGTTGATTTATTCTTAGCTTATCACTGAGTATACATATGCAAACAGTTTATCTCCTGATAAAACATTTTTTGTAGGTGTATATCAATCAAATATAAAATCATATGTTTTATAGTGTTTAGGGCTGGAGTACTCAGGGGAAAGTACAGGTTACATAAAAACTGGGGTGTAGGGAGAATAACCATAATGAATAAAGGCAGGAGCAAGAGAGACAGTAAAGAAGCATTTGAAATTAAACCACTTCATTTACACAGATCAACATACACACAGACAACAATTTACCTCATGTATCCGGATTACAATAATAATGACAGAAGTATTAATAGTAATAACAATAATAATAGTAATAACAACAGTAATAATGAAAGGGTTGTTTAGCAGGATGTTGAATGTTAAGCAGGTTAACCAAAAGAGAAGGAATATAGTGAAAATCAACATGTATAGTTATTCCATTATGAGTTCAATACAGAGTGGATACAAAATGACAGTGGTTTCATGTAGAGCACAAATTAATTAGGCTAATCAACTTCATTTTTTCAGTGTCTATTCACAATGTGACCAGTAGAACTAGTTAACTTTTAATTCAGTACACAATTGACGAGAATAGCGCTTTATAGATTATATGGAATGAAGCGATTAGTAGATTGTAGTGCGACGAAATATATTTGCGGTTAACACACATCACTTATGCTCACTGGCTTATATGAAATAGGAGGTTAGTGACTGCAACAACCAATGGTGTAATCACAAAAATATAATGAATTAGGAAATATATAAAAGACTAATGGACAGTATTTGTATGTTTATTGATGGTGATGAGTGAGCATATATCTCACATGTGGATCCCTTTCTCTGCCAAATTAGCCAAAAGGTTAAGTGATCCCTGAAAAAGTACAATTAATCAATTTGGGAAGCTTCACCCACAGGGACAAGTATTCCATGAAAATACTTGAAATGTTGGTATCTAACAGCATAAGTAGGATAAGTAATTGTTGAACACAGATGAATATCGACAGATAAACTGATATCATCTGACAGTTGATGAAGAATTACCAAGTAAGTGATTGAAAGCACATGGGAAGAGAACAAAGAGGAAAATAGGTGTGAATTCTAAATTACACCCTTACAAAGACAAAAATCAACGAGAGGATGGAGCGATTATTATTCTTGTTTGACTAAAGAAAATTCGGATCTGAGTACTTGTCTTAGAAACTGCTCACTACGTAAATTCAGGTCTGATTAAAAGATTAGATAAATAACTGAGGAAGATGAATGTCTGCTTAAGTTATAATGTTGCTTTCGCATGTTACTTGAGAACTAAAGGTGAAACTTATTCAGAGGAGACAGAAAAAAAGTGGGGAAAGGAAGAGATACCACGTGCAAACAATAGCAAAAAAAACCGTGGTTAAAGCAAACTACAACCGCCATTTTTCTCTAATAGTTAGCTATTTAATAGTAGTAATGGATTTTAAGAAAAATTTAAACAATACGAAGGCAAAACCGAAAAAGTGAAGCTTACAAATTTCAACAACTTAGTGAGTAATACGTTTCAAGAAGACAAAACAATACCTGAGTTTCATTTTGATTGACCCTGAGATAAGTAATGGCATGCTTTTGGACTGGTACAAAATAAAATTTTAAAAATGAAATTACACTACTTTAATCCTGATAGTAATATTCTTCAGAAAGAATAATTTACTAGTGACAAAACAGAACAAAATCCAAATGGAGAATAAGTAACAGTAATGACTATGGTAATACTAGTAATGAATAAGATAACAAAAACAACAATAATGACAAGTTAGCTAGATAATAGATCCTTTGAAGAAAGTTCATAAACCCTGAGATATTTATAGAATGATCATGCTAACATGTAGTGAGATGAAATAAATAGTACACGATAGAATTGAACAGACTTCGAAGTCCAAATATACGATATACTGATTGACATTGGAGTGAGTAATTATCATCGTTTTCATCAATTTTGCTTCTCACCAGCATTTTAAAACCACCTCGAGAATTTTATGAATTATAACAAAACATGACGATAAGAGGAGAAGGAGATGTAGGGACTGACGATGATATTTCATCAAGTAATGAATAATTATCGGAATGAAGGCATTGAATAAAATGAAAACAAAAATTAATCTCTATTCCCTGAGATGGTCGACTGTAAAAAATGTCGTCATTTTGACATGTAAGTGTGCGTATATGAACTGTAAATGAAGTGTAAATATGTATACCTTGTATGCATCCATATGTATGCGTAAAGGTGAGTGAGTGAGAGAGAACGTAGGTATCTTGTAATCGAATCCGGTTTTCTAATACATTATTTTTGAGGACGAAAAGCTTGGAAGAATTCCCTGAGAACTGAAAGAATTGAAAGGTATGCAAGTATGTCAATTAGAAATTAATCAAAAAGAATAATTTTGTTCTTTTTTGTGTAGACCGATGATTTTGAGAGGTTATATATCATGTGATCGCTTTCAAAGCTGGATTTCCTACCGGTTGAACTGAAACAAAGAGATAAAAATGAAGGTATTCATTAGGATAAATATTGTATGAAAGATAAATAGTACATTATATTCATTGATGAGATTCATAGGAAACCCTAAAGAAGGCCCGTTAGAATAGTAGTCTACAGAAGATTGTATGAAAATGCATAAAACCTGAATTAACGGATTCTTACCAGTCGGCCTAAAGTATCTGAAATTCTGTACTGCTGTATTGTGTCATTTAGTTTAGAGGCTGAATCTTAACGCTGAGTAATTAGACTTCATGTGAGTAGGAATGAGAAACCATGGCCACAATTAGTTTATCATTTAGCAGTGACTTAGTATTCGTTGCCTTATAAATGAGTGAAAAATCACCGGTGTTACAGACTAATAAATATAGGCAAGCAAAAATACGACTACTACTGCACGATAGGCAGTCATATCTTGTGGCTCTTTGATTGATTCCTTGCTCTTATAGACAAAAAAGGCGAGTTCTCTTGTGATAACCACAGACGAATCAGCCTGACGAACATAATATCTAAGATTTTAGGTTCGACAATAATTAGACGCCTGAGTGGAGCTCAGAAACAGCAAGCCCAAGAAAACCAGCCTGGCTTGAGACCTAGTCGTAGGTGTATCGACCAAATACTCACACTTCGCCAGGTTCTAGAACACAGGGACGCTTACCGATGCCCGACACTGGCTGTATCTCTCTACCTGAGGGTGGCATTTGACTCCGTTGGTCGATAAGTCTTATGACAATGTCTCTCACTGAAAGGGATGCCTAATACAAATACATCACCTTACTGAAGGGGCTGTTTGTTCGAACACCTGCAGGGGTGTTAGAGCCTATGGTGAGATGTCGAGTGAGTTGTGTATTTCGAGCAGTGTCCATCAGGGATGCTCCCTCTCTCTCTCCATTTCTATTCATTTTTATCATACACTTTCTTAAGGATGTCTCTCTATCGTCAGTTGATGACTGTACACGCACTAATCTAATCACAGGAGAATTTTCGGTTGACCTAGAATACGCAGATGACCCAGTCCTGTTAAACGCTGACAAGATATAGAGTCTTCTAGTCACCTTAAGTGGCAGTGTGAGAATGGGATGCATTTCTCGCCACCCAAATGCGAATTGTTGCTCCAGAACTAGTCACCAACGTTACTCGGGCTAACAACAGAGAGTGAAATGGTTGAGCGCGATGAAGACTTCACTCATCCGGGAAGTCCGGTCAACCATGGTGGCTAAGTGGCTGAGGAAATCTCTGCACTGATCCAAAAGACTCCGTTGCCTTTTGCCAACTTGCGCCATTTATCACGTCGTTGCGATATCCGATTGTCTGTTAACGGTCGAGTGTACTGGGATGCAGTCCGGTCTCTTCTACTGTGTGGCTCTGAAACATGGCCACTAAAGGTACAAGACATGAGAAGGCTTCAGGTTTTTAACCACGACTGCCTTCGTAGCATAGGCCATGTTTCATGGTGTCACCATGTGACTAACGCAGAAGTCAGACGTAGGGTTTCAAGCATGAGAGGTAAGACAGTTGATGTGGCTGTCAACTTTCGTCGACAGAGATGGCTGGGACATGTGTTAAGTATGCCCAGTCACTGTCTGACTCATCACAAAACGTTGGCCAAAGTAGGTTCCGGCTTGAAAAAGGTTCTGGGTGGACAGACTAAAGCGTGGCATCAATCTATGAAGTCCTTGACTATCCGTTTGAACCAAGTAGGGCAATGCAGACTAGGCGGTTAGGTTCCGCAGGACAAGAGAAATCAGTGGTTGCAGACTCTAGGTAATATAGCTGAGAACCGATATGTGGCGCAGATGTATACACACATTATCCCCATCTTAACCTCCATACCTATTCTCATCATCTCATTCTTCCTTCCTCTCTTTTACTGCTTTCTACTTTTACTTCATTTTACCTATTTTACTTTACTTCTTCATCTTCCATTCTATTGCCTTGTCATTTTATGTGTTGACAAGGGGTGTGACAACTTGGATCACTGTGTAGCCAGCCCTGGCCCTATGTTGATCTTGATGATGATGTATTGTTAGCACGACAATCGATTTACCAATAGTCACAATTTTACATCATTACATTAACTATCTCTTAAATCTCACGAGATACGATAAATGTCGTGTATTTCTAGTCGTTTATCGTAGCTGAATAACTGTTTGTTGCTAATGATCTTCTCTTTTAGTTATGAGTCATGGATAGCCAAGACAGGAAACCAGTTAGTGCATTCTACGACCGTATCACAACAACATAGTCTCCACTACACAACAAGTCGACGAATCGAGCATATTAGTCTGAAAGGTAAAACCGTGGTCGAAAGAGATGACGTGAAGAAATCACTCAACAGGTTAAGTATACGTTAAAGTGTGTATCGAATCTCATCCATCCATAAAAATAAGCAATACAGACATTTATAAACAACAAGTGGTTTTCAAAATCCTGTATTATGACTGTCAAAGTATCCAATGATACCATAACCATATCTTCCTTAGGTAGGAATATATTCAGTATGCCCAACCTACATTATTATTTTCAACTTTCCCTGTTGATACTTTTTAAGGTTAAGGGATTTTATTGTAAACAGAAGGATTGCATCTATGAATCGAAATGAAGTAACTGGTCAACATAGAATTTCTTCAATACAACCCTCATGAAGTTTTATCAGTAGAATATTCTAACATTACATCTATAAATCCCTCCTGTTTTCCATTCATAGCCATTTTATCCACAGACAAAAGTTATTTTGCACACACATATATCATATAATCAAGTGGATCCCACATAAAGTCTGGAACAGACTCTGTCTTTTCCCAGCTAACTGACTGATGAATGGCAATATGGTCATACTGGGAGCTGGAATTCCTCCATTTACTCTGAAGTGAGACGACAGGTGAGCTGTGCTGCATAGGTAACGCACTAGGAAAACATCAGTTCATAGTAAACATTATCGAAATTATATCATACTTAAAGCAAGTATGACTACTACTTTGCGTCATATGTAAGTAGTATATTCCTGGTAAACTGAATGACAATAAAAATAAAGAAGAAAAGCTGATGGTTTGCTTAAATATACCAAATAAAAGAGAGAGATATTCTTAGAAGTACACGATGACATCAAGATGGATAAATTTATCTTTAGAGTCAGGTTTTCAATCTTTTTCTCATCCTCTAATTAGAAGAAAACTATCATAAATCAGTTTTCATAAAGTATGATAAAAATGTTTATATAGCCTTCTCAGTCTATTCATTAAATACACGACCTTGAATGAGTATAACATTCTCATTAACTTTTCTTTGTCGTCCAGACACTCATACGTACAAAAACCTATATACACAAACGTAGTCAGCTTACAGAACAATAAATATTAATTCAATATTAAATAACAGACTCAATAATATTTGAAAAGTTAGCAGGTATTAATTAATGACCAGCTTATTAACAAAAAGACAATTATTGACCATTGGAAAAAAACAAAGAGCGTTACACGTTGGCTTTATTTTTCTCCTTTTCTCTCTGTGTTTCATGAAAATGAGATTTATCTCAATCGCATAACTTACAGATTATTAAGACATTCCTCCAGATATTTATACATCCTGCTGTTCACACTTGGTTATCTCAGTTATCGGTGAAGCTAATGAATTCATATTTTGACTAGTATCAGGTGTAGAACTCATAAGATCTGATTGTGAAATTGGTGAAGTTGTATTCTGTAGTAGTTGTTGTTGTTGTTGTTGCTGTAGACGATGATGGGTTTCTGGTGCATCCGTTTTCGGATTTATAATGTTATCATTTAAGCTACCATTACCACCATTGGGATTCATATTTGTCCATATAGACTGTAAACTATCGCTTGTACTTGAAGGAAGATTGATATTATTACCATTGCTATATGAAATCGGTGTATTTGAACGTGAATTTCGACTTTTAACAGAAATCACTGCTTCACTCATATTCATATGGTCGGCCTGGTTTTGTATCGAAATCATTCCAGTCGATGATATTGATGAGCTGACAACTTGACGCTGAGGTGAGGCAAGTGCAGAAGAACATGAAAACTGAGGAGAGGGCTGTAAAATGGGAATAGATGCTTGAATTCGTTGCTGCTGTTGTTGAGGTGACGGTACTAGGTAATTTGTTGAAATTGTTTGGGTGGAGGAAGGAGAACAATCTCTGGAACCTGAATAAGTATTCGAGTTTGATGGAGTATAACTCATAGAACCGTCATGGTAATTAAATTGTCCAGCAAACCCACGTGACTGATTGACTAAAGGAGTATCAGAGTTAGATGATAAACTTGTTGAGGAATATGACCCCCTCATATGAGATGAATCTGGAATTAATTGTGCTGGATGTGGTTGTTGCTGTTGTTGGTGAATTTGATGTTGAGAGCTTTGCTTATGAGTGACAGCATGCATCTGACTATCTGAGGTACACTGCTCAGCATTGACAGCTTGAATTCTGTTGCCATTGTTATTGTAAGCAATATTTTCATTAATGGAACAAGACGGGACCATGACAGGCACCTCAGGTCTATTAAGGGGTTGATTTGGATAATGATGATGAACAGCCTGAGGGATGGATACTGTTGAAGAGCCATAGTTCACAGTAGAATTTGTGACTTCACCGTATGGTACAGGTTGTGGGCAAGCAGAAACAAGCTCTGGACAAACAGGATACGAATTTCCTACATGCTGAGCAGCAGTAGCAAGAGCAGCAGCTGCAGCTTGAGTGGACATGGTTGGAGTAGAAGTATCTTCATGTGGAATATCATAAGTCTCAGCATATAGTGGCGCTAGGCGTGTACGATACCAATTTTCTCTATACCAACGCATACACAATTGTACTTCATCTCCAACTGTAGTAATTTGACCAATTGCATTGCGTACTTGCCCAAGTAGCGCTGGTTCTCTAGGTCTATTACGTTCCAGTTGCATACGAAGAGCGGCTAAATGATGTTCTTGCATTACAGCTACTTTGTTCGGTTCTATCAAACCATAACGATCTGAAAGAAGATTTAAGTAAATATATAGTTAACAAAAGTGGTATGAAAGTCTATCGAATAACAACCATGGATAGTTGAAGCTGTGAAACACTAGTTTAGCCAGGTGACAGTAAAAACGAGTGGTTATTGACTTAAATCCCGCTTCCCCTACTCGTTTCTAAGCAACCTGGTAGTATCATCAGTGTTCAAACAAGAGATATGGTTAGCTGTCTACTGCATGAACTTGTCAATGGTTGATGGATTACATTTTATAACTATTACTTCGATTATAGTTGATTAAACTTTTTTTTAATAAAGCACTAAGAAAAAATACAAGGAGTCAGACACTATTGTGAGATAGGAATTCTTTGAAGTACAATATTGTATGCAAGCTCATTTTTGTATCAAAGAAAAGGGTGTAAGTCAACATCTGTTCAAAATAGACAGTAACTAAAAGTACGGAATTCCAAAGAATTTTCTTATGTAAACATATCCAGTATATTGCATAAACTCATGATGATATATGTGTACAAAGTTTACTGAAAGGTATGCGAAGCAAAAGTCTCTCAAATGAATGCCAATTATTATTCGATATTTTAACCCTGATATCCTTCCGTCTTTACTTCTTTCTGGATGATTTTTATGTATAAAACTACGATATTTCTAATCAAACTAGCCCATCACCAAAGGTATAAGATGTGACTACCATTAAGTGATTAGTTTAACTACAAACTACTTCGGTTAGATATTCATTCAGGTAGGTTAGATAGAAACTAACACTATTTAAAACAAGAACAACCAGTACTTAATGACTAAGCTATGTAACAACTGTAAAGTTGGCAGTATTACTTGCTAACAGTAGGTTCTTCTTGACTGGTCAAAACCTTGTTTGAAGAGTTTAGTGTCAAAGTAATAAAAAAAGAATTCTACAATGAATAATCATTGCTATCTTTCCGTCTTTTAAGTATTTTTTTTGTTATTCAATTAGCAAAATGCAGTTCCTATAGTTTTCAGCAGAAAAGTCATGTACCGTCCTGATATAGAACAAAAGATTGTTTATATAGGTAAGTTTTAATATAATCCCAGCGTAATGATTGAAGTAGAATAAAAAATTTGGTCAGCAGTCGAGCCTTTTAGCTCAGTTGATAGAACACCGAACTGAAAACTCAGTGGTAGATGGTTTGAGGCCATCGCGATCCAAATTTTCACTTCACCTTCAATCATCACCTAGTACCAAAATCAAAACGAGATTTTTCTGAACGTTTCGCTGTGTATCCCACAGTGCTTATTCAGTAGAATTGTTTATTTAGAAGTTCAGCACTAAGTTTTGATATTAATGTACATAGTAGTGTGATGCTGTGAATATATTCTCGTGGCGCAACAAAAATATTATATGAAAAAGGCGAATACTTGAAAAAAAGGTTCAAGGAATGAATTTTACTTTTGTATACACATACTGAATTGAATCTATAAACAGTCGCAGATTACGTAAAGCTAGAAGATAAATTACATTGTTACAAAAATTCAAATAACAATCTTTCTAGTTGATGTATTTGTACTGGAAGAACATGGATAAGCCTTTCTTGCAATCCGTAACCATGATTAAATTTATTGAAGCTGAGTGTTGTATTTTGTTTAATATGTCTTCTTCCGTGTGAACTACAAATGGCATGGAACGTTCGTAACCACTGAAGACTAGACTACTGTCATATATGCTTAATGTGTTTATTTGGAGAGTATTACTGAAGATCTCTAAATTATATGCATACGGAAAGCCAAGAACTGGCAGCGACTTAGTAACCAATGCAAACTGCCTGAAGGAACCGTGCTGAATTTTTGTAGTACAGTTTATCCAGCGACCACCAGGTTACTGGCCCGGTGGTCGCTAGTTCGAATTCAGCCGCGGTCCAGATTTTTATCTCACTTTCAATCATCACCCAGTATAATTACTAGTCCGCCAAACTACAGTTATCTCAGATAGTCAGATGATACTGTCAATAAAGTAACTAGTATAATGTCCAGCTAACCAAGAAACTAATTGATGCATAGACCTGCATCAAATTATTAACTTTCTTACAACCTATAGATGCATACTGGTATAGAAATGCAATACTTACTTGGCTTGGTGATTACAGCAGCACAGCAGAGAGCAACTTCTGTGTCATTCAGCATTAATGCGTTGAAATTCTCCGAAAATGAAAATATTGAACACACAACACTTGGCTAGTAAAAAAAAAAGTGAGGAAAAAAAGAGAGTGAGACTAAAAAAGATGCATATATGTATAAGTATGAAATTTAATTCGCTGATATTACATCTGTAGCTTATAAACAACTTTTTGGGCTACACGGAAGATGACTTTGAGAATCCTGTTTGTGGATAACCTAGCCCGGAAATCGATCTGATTCATAGAACAGTTATTATTAGTACAGTTAAGTAGATTTCAACCAATTGTACCAACTGTGAAGTTAACTGCAGTTGACGTGTTTCAGACAAGTGTAACCCAATAAGGAGGATCTAATTTACATCACGAAGACCGATAGATATGCGCCTGATATTATACACTCTGAAGTAAATACATATCACTTACTGAATATAAAAACGTGCAGTTATAATTCACAACACAACGGCTGAACCAAGTAAGAATATGTGCACAAACCTGAAAACATACCATCTGCATGAATACTAATCACACTATCTCACTGTTGTAGCCTCTACAGACAGAGGACAGTTAGAACTGGTTTAAAGCTTATAATCGAAACCGGTGATTAGGTATTTCATTTTAATGTAGTCAAAAAAGTGGTGATTTCTTAAAAAATCTGGAAGAATTATCACCGATTTCACATTAATGATGGATAGCGGCTAGCAGAGGAATCCAGAAGCTGCGTCTCGCCCTACTTGAGACTCGTCTGCTCGGTGTACCTGCCTCACTGTTAGCAGTTTCGTTCTTAGTATCCATTATTAATATGCAGTTGAAACGACGAACAACATAGAGGCATCCCACTTGAGCCTAGATGGTAATAGAGACCGACCAATTCAGTCAAATCAGTGGCGAGATAATACAGGTAACGATATAAAAAACTATCGCCAAAGTTAAAATTCTTGTTGTGCAGCACAAATGTTGAAAGGGGTTACTGACCAACAATCCAAAATGAATGTAAAAAGGATGAATTGGTTAATTTAATATTCGCTATTCAATGCTGTGGTTTGTACAATAACAGCAAAGAAATAAACAAAATGTTTGAAGTGATTGGTAAGTTAAATGGCTTGAAAAGTGTGTAAATTGTTCTCTAAGGATCAAAATCTTGCAATCTTACTTTATGGATGTGATCAATGGCTACTGAAATTAGAAGATATGACAAAATTCCAAGTTTCTGATTACCGTTCCCCTAGATACAACAGTAGCATGTCTTGGAACTGTTAAGTCAAAAGTGTAGAGGCTAGACAATTTGAACTGCACTTCTAAATCCCATCCTAATATGGAATGGTAGAGAGTGCATCATTTACGTCCAATGTTCACTGGCTGATCATTATAGAGCTAACTAAGTTCATGTCCACTAGTCCTAAGTAATGATGCAGTTTCACATCCCACAGGGGTTCAACCATTCCCTAGAGGTTGCAGATATGCCTTACAGATGAGTGCCAGCAAATATGAAACTTACGTCCATGATCTTTTACCAATCACTGCCAACTGCTTGCTTATTTTTAAATTAATGACGCAACCTAATCCATTGGTAACGTTCGATACTTAATTCAACTGGTGATACTCAGGACTAACGATATCAAGCATACTCATTGCTCAGTCTGATTTCGTGAATGATTTTGTATAGAATGATGAGTGCATGCACTGTAGATTATTAACATTCAAGACGAAATAATAACCCTCAAAAGAGTTAATAATGACGTTTGCATGAATAGTGTAAGTTCCCTAACCAACAGTTACACGTATGAAACAACTCAACTGGTAAATAATTCAGCTTTATTTTGAATGTTCCTCAAATATTATCAATCCACAATCTACTCATCAGCGCATAAGTAACTAAACCAGTATGTCACAGTTTGTATAACTCTAAAGAAACACATATTGTACACAAACTCAGCTAAAGTAATATTAATTAATTACGCAATAATTTCACTATATTACATGAAATACGTTAGATAGATACATGACAAACAGAAAATGAGTCGCATTAAAATGATTACATAATCATAACCGTCATAATACCGCCCACTTCACTGATCATGCTAAAAAATACAAATTTACAAGCTAGTATACATGCACACTCACAAAAATGGAGTTAAATATGCACATATACACACGAGCATAAAGATATCTATTACCATTCACAAACGTGTATGTGTATACAATACACAAAGGTACTGACAAATTACTACCACGATTACTACTTGTAAGCACAACCGTACGTGAAATGAATCTTAAAGTTTATTGAAAGTCTCAGTTTCTTATTTAACTAATTAGTTAGCATACATACGGCTAGTGTACACACCATAAACTTATATCAGCATAGTTCTATGAAGATCGTTACTAATGTCATCAACTCCACCATCATCATGATTGTGTAAAGCAGATAAAATAAACTTGATACTGACGTTTTGTACCAACGATGTGCGTGTGTATAGACTGAAGTATATATGTATGGGTACATCAATAGTTCTATGCCAATACATATTGGTACATTCATTTAGTATAGTGTACAATCATTTTCTATATAAGCAACGTATAACGTCAATTTAGATTTGCGCGCTTGCACACAAAAAAACACAAATTAATTCATCAAACATTCCAATGTATTTCACGAAGATAAACAAATGAATCCATTAAGTCTCATACGCATGAAAGCAGTGACGCTGATGAACGAAATAGGGGCAATAGGGGGAATTTAAGGGTGAAAAGTAACCGGAAGTTTTGATGCAGATACACATTGCTTACACTCTAGGAAGTATTATTACTAACAATCAAGGCAATGACCATTGTGAACGATGACGTAAACTGTGTTTGAAACGGACCATCCAACAGTGTTGGGGCATAAAACTAACTAAATAGAATTTTTCTACGACACTACTCAAATTCGATGTGTAAGATGTATTTTACCTGCAATCCCGTCATAGTACAACATAATTTTTAAAAATAGTCGAATATTTCGTATTATTCCTCAACGTTCCAATCTTAATAGGAAGACCATTTTCAAACGGTAACTAGATTCTTGACAAACTAGATAATTAAACACACACGCCAACAGAAATCTAAATATGAGCTAAGCTACTGAATCATATGACCACTTGCAAATATTGTGCAGTAGACTAATACTACTAGTTAATTAAACAGTAGTTTATCAACTAAGTGTTAAATAGAGGTTTAAATTAACAATTTTCATGCTGAAATTATGGAGTGCCTAAAATAATAGTTTCTGAACAGACTGAATTCAGAAATCTCTCGATGAAAGCTAACCAACAGAGTACCATAGTATTGAAGCAGTTCCCACAACAGTGACAAAATTCTAAACTGCATATCAAGAATATATGCAAGAGCATGGAAACAATTAAGGAATGATTAGTGAGTTCTTTATATATTACATATTAGGACTACTTTGTCATTGAAACATGAAGAGTGATATAAGCCAGAGGTCATAAAAAGTTGCTAGCTTATCATACAGTCGGTTCACAAGTTGAACATCATTTCTTTCATAAAGCCTTCGACAGGTCATGGGACAGGCATAACTGCCGACGGCCAACAGTAGCTATAATTTTGACCTGAAGGCAGCATTTGACTCTGCTGATCGTGCGGTGATGTAGTCGCGTCTGAATGTGAACAAAGTACCAAGTATATGTTTATCATTGGCCAAAGCTCGCTACTCAAACTCAAGGAGCAATGCGATGGCTTATGGAGAGCCGTTATTTAAACTGATGACAACTAGTGGTATTCTCCAGTGATGCTCATTGTTACTGGTTTCATTTAACTTCGTTATAGATATGCTAAAGGACAAAACTATACCTACATATGACTCCACAAGGAGTGATCTACTCTCTCAAGGTCATCTACGTGACTTGGAGTATGAGGCCAATGTTGTCCCGTTAAGTGCCAAAATGCGGGTGCCTCTTAACGCATTGAGCAGAAATCTGAGAATGTTTACCATGTGTCTCACATGTGTCAAATTTAATATGATGCTCCAGGGCTGGTCTGCGAGCACTATTAGTTTGAAGATAAGGAGTGAGGTGGTTGAGTACATAGACCATTCCACTACTTTGGGGAGTTGTACCAGTTCGAAAGGGCTGACGAAATCTTAGCTGAGAAACACAAGGCCCGTTCGGCGTTTGCTAACTTGAGTCATCATTCATGCCGGTTGGTTAGATATACGACTACCTAGTAAAGGCCGACTGTGCTGCTCTGCAGTTCGTTTTGACTTATTATACAGCTGGAAGACATGGCCACTGATAGTAGAAGATATGAAGCGCTCACAGGGTTTTGGTCACACATGTCTTCGTAGCATTGCCTTCGTGTGGTAGAATCACCATATGAGCAATGCAGAGGTCAGTCGAAGGGCTCCAGGAAATAACCTCTTTCCACTGAGATAGCTTGGATATGTACTGCGAATGCCGAGCTACCATCTACCTCGACGTTCCATTGTAGGGGGAGTTGGATTAGGTTGGAAGAGGGTTCAGAGTGACCAGACAAAGACCTGAAACTAGTTGATGAAGTCTCTTACTGTGGCGCTGAGTGGTGTGAGACTATGTACACTGCCTGGTTGCTGTCCCCAAGGCGAAAGAAATCAGTGGTTGAGGACTCTTTGTGACACGATAGAAAATCGGTCACAATGGCGCAAATATATTCACTACTTGATATCTTCTAATGCTTGGATATTCGCAGTAACCGTTATCTTCAAATTATTCATTCTCCCATACAACTTTGTCGACTTTGATATCGGCCTTTTTCTGTCCACTTGTTCTTTTTATGTCACTGTAAATTGTGGCAACTTGAGCATATGAACTCGCATATCAGGTTCTAAGTCGATTTTGTCTGTCTGTCTGTCTGTCTATTCAGTATAATTGTTTTTATATCATACCGTCGTTGATTGGACCGAATTGACCGGTCTCTACTGGCATATGGGCTCCTGTGCGGATGCCTCGATATTTCCAGCTTTCTAATTATGTTAGTGATGGAGCGTGGAAACAACATAACTCACTGGGAAGCAAATACATCCAGCTG